TCGCACATCTGCGTGTCACTAGTTAAAGTCTTCCCTCTAGGACAAAGCAGAAGAAGTACATTAAGAAGGGTGCAGCGGCGCCGGGAAGGTGCGCGGGGCGGCGGACGCGGCCCGGGGCGGGCGGCGCTGCGCGGGCGCTGCGCGGGGGCTGCGCGGGCACCGGCGGCGGGGGGGGCACGGCGGGGGGAACCTCCCTGAGTGCTGGGACCCGGGCTCCATTTTTACCTCCGGGTATTTCCTCGAGTTTGGTTGTTTTGTTTTGGTTTTTTGGGGTTTTTTGGTGGTGGTGGTGTTTTGTTTTTTGTTGTTTTGTTTTGGTTTGGTGGTTTTGTTTTGTTTTTTTTTTTCCTCTCCCCCTTTCCGCGCGGCGCTCGCAACTTTTTCTCCCCTAAACTCCCCGTCTTGTGATTAACTTCTTTTTTGGTCTTTAGATCTTCCCCTTTTTCACTGTACTGTGACACACGCTGTCTACCTCGCCTCACTGCCTTAAAAAGTAAGAACAGGAGGGGGTGAGAACTGTTAAACAAAGCCTACAGAAAGCGAACAATGGCCTCCATTCTGCTCCTCTACCCAAACCCCGAGTGCAGAAACCCAGGCTCCTTAACCGGCCGCGCAGCTTCCCAACTCAACGGACCAACAACCCTCCAACTTACAAAGAGCAGAGAAACAAGCCCCTTCTCCCTTCATTAGTGCCTGCCTTGACCCAGCGCCTGGACAGTCCCCAGCGCCTTCCCCCCCACCCCCCCGCTCCCTCCCTCCCTCCCTCCTTCCTTCCACGACTCCCTCTCTCCTCCTCTCGCCACCTTCCTTCCTTCCTTCCCTCCCTCCTTCCCTCTCCCACACCCCCCCGCCAACCCCCGGCCCACTTATTTATTTATTTATGCGTCCCCGTGTATTTATTTGAAATCGTCGCGGGTGAAAATGGAAAAGTAATTTCTCGTTATAAATATCTGGCGGTAATTGTGTTACTGGTGCGAGTTGTTAGGGGTTGTAAAAAGATACAACAGCTCAGTGGGGTGCTCAATTGGGGAGGGACAATTACAATAAAGAGCCCATTCAAGGGGGTTGCTAAAAAAAAAGGAGGTAAAATAATGAAATAGTCGCAGCCTTCATTTTCTCTCCCTTTTTTTTCGCCTAAAAATACTCATTCTCTTTCTTTTGCGCCTATAATGAATATTAATTTTACTCTTCCTGCATATGATGGAGAAATCAAAGAGGCACGTTTCCCCATTCAGGACTAGCCACGGTATAATTTATTAAGTAGCTTTTAGTAATCTCAAATCCATAAAAATAAACATCAAACAAGTACTTTCTCGCAGCGTGAAGACTTTAGCTGGTAAATATTTACTGCTCTTTGGAGAGCTACCTGATTAGCAGCAGAGCAAGCTACGCCGTACTCCAAAGGAGACGCGGTGCTATCTCCTTCAGCCGAGCTGAACGTGGAGCCATCCCTTTAACACACCGAACACGTCTGCATGGGCACACACCGAACGGCAAACCCACCGCTCCACACACAATTTCCTCCCGTATTTCACGCACAAATCATAAACGCGGGGCCTACGGGGCGAGAGGAGCCATCCCAAAAGGCACCGGCAAAACTTCCAGCGCTCAGCCCTGCCCGCACGCACCTCGCCAATGACACCGAGAGGGTTTAAAAGAAAGGAACCGGGGGGAGCTTGGGGGCAGAAAGAGAGGGGGGAAAATAAAAAAAAATAGCCACAAAACAAACCCAAACAGAGCCGAAAGCGGTTTACAATAGCGGGCGAGGGTAAGCGAGGTTGCAGCAAGGTAAGAGGGGCGAGGAGCTGCGAGTGTGCTCAGCTCAGCTCGCCACCGCCTCCAGCCAGCGGCCCCGGGCAGGCCTGGCACGGCCAGCCAGGAATCGGCTCCTCCTGCCGTGCCCCATGGAGCCCCGGAGCCCTCCGAGAGCCGGGATGCAATTTGCCGTGTCCTAATAGGCCGGGCCTAATCCGCAACTCGGGGTTTAATCTCGAAATCTTCACATAATCTCATGGCAGAGAGCATTTTTTTCCCCCTCTCCCGGTGAAACCGTGTTTAGGCGTTAAGGGCAAAGTTTCGCCTTCCCGGGGCAAATGCGAAAAAGATAAAAAACAATCGGTTTGTAGTGAGTTGCTGGTGAAGGTCAGCAGCTATAAATATTTATTGTAAAGGGCCACTTTTATTATTTTACGCCCCTAAGATGGGGAAGATGCACTCACTTTTCTTCTCTAGTACGTTGTTGTCGTTTTCCAAAACAACCTCTGGCAGGTACATTGAATCATTCGAGAAAGTTTGTTTTTAAACTTTCCAGAAATTATTCCAGCTCTGCGTGCCCATGTAACCCCTCCGTGCAAAGCCTTACAAGGTTAAATTCAAACTCAGATTTTTTTTTTTTTTTTTTGCAATTGCACTTGCGAGGGAAAATGGAATCAAGTTTATTGTTGTGCTTCGCTGGAGCAATTTTTTTTTTTTCTTGCATGGCGAGGAGTTTATAACTTCTTAAAAATTAAAAAAAAAATTAATAATAAAAAGCTTTGCAGTAGTAAGGGATTGGATCAAAGGGTTTTTGTAGAAATAAAAGATGTTAAGGTTTTTTTTTTTAATTTAAAAAATAATAATAAACTAAAGCATTTGGATTTAAAAAGGGAGCAGGAAGAAATCCCCCAAAGCGGGAGCAGGGACGGGGCGCCCGGCGGGCCCCGCCGTGCTCGGTGCGGGCCGCTCCGCGCCCCCGGCGCTGCTCCCGCGCCGGGGCTGGGAAAGTTGCCGGCACTGGGGACAAGTTGGGAAGATCCCCGGGTGGCTGATTAAAGCTGACAGCCCTTCAGCTCCGCTCAGCTCCCCGCCTGTACCGCGCCTGGGAGCTGGCTTGGCCTAGGATATGGGTCCTTTTTTAAATTTTTTTTTTTTTCTTCCTCCCCACGCAACTCTCCCGGCCGCTCTCCCTCTCTGTTTTTCTCTACCGTCAGGAGCGAGCCGTCCCTCACCCAGAGCGCAGAACACAAAGCAGAAGTCGGGGACGGGGCCGCCCCGGGGGCAGCGAGGCGCCGCTTCCCTCCCTCCTCTCCCTGTCTTTCCCTGTCTCTCCCTCTCTCTCTCCCTCCCACGCTGCGTGGCGTGGGGCCGGAGCCCAGCCCGGCTCCCGGCGAGCCGGGCACCGGCAGCACCGGCACCGCAGACACCGGCACTGCTTGGTTTCCCCGAGCAGCAAACGCTGCGTGGGAATGAATTACTGCTGCTGGTGTTGGCATTGGTTTCCCGAGTCAGATGCTTTAGCTTTTCCAGAGGACACGGGCTTATGTGAAAGGCAGAAAGTTTGTGAGCTCCTGGGCTGGAAAGTTCCCTGGGAAGCTCTCCGGAATGCAAATGGGAATATGAGAGAGAGAGAGAGCGAGAGAGCGAGAGAGAGAGAGAGGAGGGGTGAGAGAGAGAGCCCTGCCTAAATATTAAAATGCGAGGAGGGAGAAGTTGGGAGAATAAATGAACAGACTCACCTTTATGAGGCATCCTGTCTTGTTGTCAAAGCTCCTGTCAATAGTTTAAGAGCGCACTGATTTGAAATGATGGTGCTTTAAAAAGAGTTGCCAGCAAAATAGTTTTTCTCCACTGAAGCTGCTGGTTGTGTGATCTTGAATTCCTGGGAAGGAGACAGAGATTGACAATAAAATGGGCTGTCAGTGACTGGAGAGCGAGAGATAAAAGAGTGTGTGAGTGAAGTGGGGAGAGAGAGGCAGAGCACACCTATGCTGATTGGTGATGGTTCAAGTGTATTAATGTGCGTGTGCCTTGGTCTCTGCCTCGCCTCCACTGCTCTTCACTGGCCCATTAGTGAAGCCTGACCTCTGTCATCATCTTCCAGCAAAACACTTCCTCCCTGCGCCGGGACCCGAGCGGGAAATGCGGCGGAGCCGGGGCCGGCGGTTCAAACCCACTAATCACTCGGCACCGTGCAAACGCCGCCCGCCCGCTCCCACCCGAATATCGCCGTATGCAAAGCGCCGCCAGCGCCTCCCCGCCGCCCATTGGCCGCCGCCGCCCGCCCCGGCCCAATTGGCCCAGGCGTTTGAATATGAATGCGCAGGGCCCGGCGCCGCCGCCGCCGCCCGCAGCCCGCGCCGCTCCCCGGTCCCGCCCGGCCCCGCTCCGCTCCGCCGGCCCCGCTCGGCCTCGCTCCCTTCCACTCCGCTCCGCCAGCCCCGCTCAGCTCCACCGGCCCCGCTCCGCTCCGCCAGCCCCGCTCCGTTCCACTCCGCTCCGCCGGCCCCGCTCTGCTCCGTTCCCGCTCTGTTCCACCAGCCCCGCTCGACCCCGCTCCGTTCCGCTCCGCCAGCCCCGCTCCGCTCCAGCGGCCCCGCTCCGCTCCGTTCCCAGCCGCGTCCTCAGGTCGGGCTGGGGGAGGGGGCCGCGGTGCTGATGGCGGAGGAGGCGGTGGGGAAGGGATGGGGGGGGGGAGAGAGATCAATTTGCATTTAAACAGTTCGCTCCAGTCCGACAATGGGAGATAAGGGCTGTTTATACCTTTACCATTGAAATCGTAAAGGTATAAATATCTGGGGGACGGGCGGAGGAGCGCGGGGCTGCCCGAGGCC